GCAGGAAGTTCCTTAGGGTGGGCATATATTCTTACATGTGTACACAATATCCAGTGCTTTTCAAAGTAGGATTTGTGGATTTCACTGGGCTGTGTGGGAGTCATGTTGGCATTTAGAGGTGTGAGCCCACCAGAAAGCAAGTTGCACCCAAAAAAGCTTGGGCAAAACTGATCGAGGTGCTACCATATATCTAAATTTAGTTATTAAGGGGTAAAAAAAAATCCTCTGGAACCTTTTTAGAAATGTTTTTGTTTTCCTTCCTGTGTCTACAGTAGCTTTGTAGCCAACAAAATGACCCTTCTTCCCCTTATTTTTGGGCAAGTGCCAGGAAATGAACCCATTCAGCCAAATATTTCTCTCGGTCTCCTGCGTTTTTGACTTAAGCATTGGTGCGTCATCTGCTCTTCTGTGAGTGGTCTTGGCAGGGAGTTTTGGTTGAGAAGAGAAGTGAGGAGATTCTTGTTGGGATGACAGCCTGGAAGATCAAGTGCAAACTGAGTGTCCCTGCTAAGCTCTTCTGGTGTTTTTAAAAACTGGAAATCTAAAGCTCAAAAGGAAATTTTAAATTTGTAGTCAAATTTCTGCACATTCCTGGGTAATGAAATAGCAGAATCTGGTCTGAGCTGGCTTCCCAGTCCTGAGCCTTCCCTTTATGGGGACAAGGCTCTGGACGAGGAGTGATCAGTCCTCCTGGTCTCTCATATTCTTGATAAAAAAACGTTTCTTCAACTGTTCAACAGCAACATATGGTTCAAGAAACAGATTTTTGGAGTGTCGCTGCCATTCACAGAGCAGGAGACAACGTTAGATGTGTAGTCAGAAGGATCAAACTTGTTTTGGAGGGGAGAACAGAAACTGATCTGGGCATCCTACCTTCCAGATCTGTGCTGTATGGGAAGTGCTTCTGTAAAGTCAGTTTAAAAACTATTCCAGTTTTAAAGGGCTGTGTTTCTCTCTCTGTCTGCACTGAGCAGCTCCTGCGTGCAAAATCAGGTGCTGCACAAGTTCTCCGTGTGCTGTACCCACTGAACGTGGGTAGGAGTGGGCTCGGGTCCTAGGGAGCAGCTTTCACCATGAGCTGGAAAGGTTTTTTAAGCTTTGATTTTTACAAACACGAGGATATGTGGCAGGGAAAATAGTAGACACTGGAAGGATTAAGCCCCAAGTAAGGGTGCATGAACAAGTGCCAGGTGACTCTGGTGGCTCAATTAAGCATTCTTCATCTTGCTCTTTGCTCCCCACGTGCACGAAAGGCTGATTTATTTGAAATGAAATCCATGAAATGTGCTAATACCTGCTCTGGTGTTGATCAGGCTTAATGTAATAACCTCCTCTCATTTTCACTGATTCTGCTGAGCAATGTGACGCACTTAAAACTTTTATTCTTGTGAATAGCTAGTATTAACCTCCAGTGGCCCTTCTGTTAAAAATAAACCCACCACCACACTGCCTGAGTCAGGAGCTAGGGAATGTGTTCCTGTCCTGTTGGACACGATCACACAGTCTGTGTTAGAGGGAGACTCTGGACAGTAAATAACTGTATGTTGAAAGAGAGCAGCAGACCCTGGGTGGTGTAAATCAGAACAGCTCCATAGCACAGAGAGCTTTGAGGGAGAGGTGAACCTGGTCATGGCTGGGAGGTTGGATCCTTTCCTAGCTCAAGAAGGATCCCAGGAAGCTTTTTTTCCTCCCATGCAGTCTTGCAGCTGGATTCCAGCTGTGCCTCCAACAGCACACACAGTACATGAGAGCGCAATGGCAGCGTAACGTCATTCCCGGAGTGCTGCTGCTGTGCTGGGAAATGAGCAGTTGGGTGGCAACAGAGAGAGAAGGGGAGGGAGGAGAGTGGGAATAGGGAACTTCTCCAACTGTGGAAGGAGATATTGTCTCAGCACTCACCGTCAGCTCCAGGGCTTCGTTCAGGAGGCCGTTGCGCTTGCTGTGCAGGTACGCGTTGGAGCTGCCTGTCTTGGCCACTCGAATCCTCGCAAGCCGGGCTTTCTGTGGAGGAAGCAAACGAGCTGAAGTTATACCTTGGCACACCAAGTCATTGGTCCTGTGCTGGCCATACCAGGTTCTCCTTGTACCTGAAAAAGCCTGGGGGTGAAATACAAGGGGTGCATGGACAGGACAAGGCTGTGTACATGCTCTGCATGTGTGTCCTTTCCATGGCTCACCTCCTCTCTTTAGTTATTTCTAAACAAACAATGCTTGGTTGTTTAATCCTCTGTTTATCTCTCAGCTCTGTGCTCTGACATCTGTGGTGACACTTGCTCTGCTTGTACCACAGCTAGCACGGGGACACCCGGTCCCCAGTGATGGTGGGGATGCTGCTGCAGCCCAAGTGGGGGGTAACAGGCATTCTGGAGGAGCAGAGCCGAGAGGGAGATCTGGTAACTTGCTCCCCTTACCAGTCAGGTAGCACAGGTTGTTAAATTAATATTGGGAAATACTGATGAAAAAGTCTTTGTTCATCATCCTGCTGTAGAGAAAGGCACCGTGGTTGTTCCTTCTGGCCTCTGCAGTGGCAGTGGAGTGTGTAGCTTTGGTATCTGATAACACAAGACACTGTCAAAAAATATGTATCTCTTGACAAACTGACAGAATTCACTCTGCAGCAGCACAGATGTTCAACTCTCTTCATTTTTATTCATCCCTGACTATCTTGACCACTGGGTGGACAAGTTAAATGATAAAAACCAGTCCAGAATAAAGCAAGCAAGAAATACTAATAAAGCCCTCTTCCTTTTTAATCACACAGTTTTTAGCATTTTGGTTTTTCTTTTCAATTGTTGCCTGCTTCTCTGTCAAGTGCTGATTTGCCTCTTTCTTTTCTACTGTTAATTTATGACTCAAACGCCATTAAAAGTAAATACATGAAATAGCTTTGGCTATTAAAAAATAATTACATTGTGCTGTATTTTAAAATGCTGCATAATCTTTTAAATAACATGGAACTCGTGATTTTCCTTTCTAATTAGAGGTTCTAATGGGTATACACTGTAGGAAGAGTAAAGCCAAGAGGCAAATATCTGCAGTGGGTCCAGAGAGGGTAATAATTCCAGGAGCTCTATTACTGTACATGCGTGAGTGACTCTGGCCCTCAGTGTTTGAAAGATTTTGTTTAACCTTAAGAGCTTCTGCTTAAGCAGACAACTACTTCTCAGGCAAAGACATGTACAGGATACTAGTTTGCAGCTTTAATTAGGTGACACAGACTATGACCAGTCTGAAAAATAGGTCTTCTTTTGACACCCCAAAATGGGGACATCCAAAATTGACTTTCTTATCTATACTTCACCTAGATTTCACTGTCCCATTTTAATGTTAAGACTCCAAGTCAGTACATGAAAGTGAAATATCTGATGAAACTTACTCTGTGCTGGAGCCGAGGTACCTCCCAGGGCTCTCTGGTCACCCTGTGAAAGGGGCACAAGCTGTATGTGCAGGACAGACTGAGGATACAACAGGAAATTGAAATTGGATCTGTAGTTTTCCTGAAGATTTTCCCAAACTACTGTGTTGCTCTCAGCCCCAAATAACACTGGCCTGAGACTGTAATCTGGAACAAAACGTGCAGAGACTACTTCTGTTGAAGATGTGTTATGGGGAGAGAGCAGAGGACAAGGGACTGAGGGATATTCCGTTCCCCAGTTACACAGCATTGTCTCTCTGTTCCTGTTAAATACACTTCCATTAAATTACTTCTTCCATTTGCAAGTATGTAACTCTTACTTTTCACAATGATCTTATTTCTTCTCTAATCAGGACTGGATATTGGATCCAGTGATGGTCTTTATAGTCAGGCTCTGGTGGCAACTACAGAAGACTTCCATTTCCTTTCTGTGCCTGACAGAATATTGGCTCCTTTGCTGCAGGAATTATGAGAATCCCCCAGTTTACCTACCTCGCCTACAGCGGGAAAGGTTTCATCCTCATCTTCAGTTCAATCAATTGTTAAAGTGGATTCAGTCTTAGGCTGTGGTAATGAACATTATTCCCTTTGCCTCCAGGCTAGCAGGGGATCAAATATTAATAGTTGTACTCCACGTGGACTGGAGATGGTTCATTTCTGAGGTCTGTTCTCTCTTCTTCTTTGAAACAGGGCCACTAGCTATCTAAATAATTAAGCCCCATAGCTTTTGTAGTTTAGAACAGACGTTGTTATTTTAAAAAATGTCAGTGGGGCAGGACAGAAGTGAATCCTGTTCTCCTTACCCAAAAGACTGTCTGGGATAGTCACGTTGCCTAATTCTGTGCCCCCATCATGATTAAATTTGGTAGATATCTTGATTAACTCAGCTAGAGAAGTTAATTAAAAACTGGTGCCTAAAACTGGTTTGGCCCTCCAGACGGTTTCCCACACTGGAGTAGAAACAGCTCTAAACCCAAAGTTCCTGTTTTTATGTGAAAGTCTGTGTTTAAACGTGCATTATTTGGAAAGCACATCTATCGAGTGATACCAGCTTTACATGATATCTGGGGACATGTCAGGAGTTTATGCAGGATGTGGTACCTTGATCGCGCCTGTCAGTCACGAAGGGTTTAAGTGCAGCCAAGTGCTCCCCTCTGACATCTGCAGCAGAGGTTTGACTCTGGTTTATGTGACTGAGCAAATTGAGGATGTGAAGGGCACCTGGCAGCACTGTCAGACTCTGGTCACGGCGTGGCAGCAGGTAAAGCTGGCCGCTTCGGAGGAGTTTGTGTTATCTGTTGGAATGCATCAGTCTGGACTTGGCTGGCTGGCAGATGTCTGGAGGAGTAAATTAGAGGCAAAAACCTCGAGCTTAGGGCACCCCAGGTGAGCTCTGAAGCAGCAGTATTTCGCAGGGAGCTGTCCTATATACCGTCACATATTTTGCTGTCAGAAAGCTGGAGAATTAGGCTGATGGGGTCTTCCATGCTCTGCCAGTTTTTAACACGCGTGGGTATGTCTTTGTCATCCCTGTCCTGTAGCGCTCAGTACTGCTGGTCTGCAGGACAGAAGTGGAGGACCATGTTTTTCTGGCCATCTGCTGCAAATGTCTTTGGGGGGCAGAGCTGTCTTCTGCATCTTATCCCACAAACGTGACAGACTAAAGGTCATTAGGGCCAGGCCTGAGATCACTGTTACTGAATATAACCCCTGTACAGAGAGTCTAAAAAAGGAGGAGAAAGAGGCACACTGTGTCTGCATGTGGAGTGGTAAGAGGAGTTGCTAGGAAACCAGAGGATCTCAAAATGCATATGACCTAATCTGGAAGATAATTTATATGATGAAAATAATAATACTAATGACAGCCACTTACAGGTTAGAATGATTAATTTGGTTATCTTGGAGAACCACGTGTTTCTGAGAGCAGGATGGAAGGCAGGTCTCAACAGCTTCTGGCTCCTTACTGCTTTTTAAGAAACTGGAGACTCGGAACAAGCAGGAAGGGCAGTGAAGCCCATGTGGAGTGCTGAGGGACAGTGGGGAGGATAATGTAACTGGCTGTCAGCATCCTGGGTGCCTACACTTCCCAAAGGGACTGACAAAGAAGAAAGGATAGCCTGTCTTCATCTTCTAGCTGCTTTGGAGAAGTGCAAGGAGCAAGAGTTGCTGGCTAGGAAAAATGCTTACCAGATGGCAGGCCAAGGAAACAGCTAATTATTATTTATTGATGATTTTCATCTATAAACTATTTTCAGTTCGCATGGAGATAATGTTCACTCTTGATTTTTGTGATATAATAAACTATTAAGTTACAACCTATGACATAATTTCATATTTGCCAGACATCTTCAGCTTTCCAGATCTTCTGTGCTTTTGTGCAAGGAGATGGATGGAGTACGTGTATGTCAGGTACTACAGGTCCTACATCCAATCCTGCTTCCTCTTTGGACTGGAGCTGTTGTTAGCATTATCCTCCATAGAATGGCTGAGGCTGGAAGTGACCTCCAGAGATCATCTAGTCCAATCCAGATGCAGGCTCAAGCAGAGTGAACTAGACCCAGTTCCCCAGGGCTGTGTCCAGATGGCTTTTAAATATCTCCAAGGATGGAATCTCCACAACCTCCCTGGCATACCTGTGCCAGTCCTTGGTCACTCTCACACTGACAAAGTGTTCCCTGATGTTTGGATGGTCTTGTCACTGGGCACCACTGAAAGTGCCTGGCTCCATCCTCTTTGCACCCTCCCTTCAGATATTTGTATACATTAATAAGATCCCTCTGAGTCTTCTCTTCTTTAAAGTATTTTCTTGTAGTTATGTTCTCACTTCCCTAAAATGATCTTATCTGTGGTACCTTTGAATAACTTGAACATAAAATTCAGGAAGGAATTCAGCAAAGACTTCAGTTTGTACTTCTGAGTGGGAACTCAGTGTGCATATGTAACTTGGAAAGGGAAGGGATGTAACCTTCATATGATGGAAAATAGCTCCCCAGGCCATTGAGGTAGTTTTTCCTTACTGAGCAGAAAATGGAAAAGTCTTCATTTTTAAAAGAACATTCAAAAATAATAGTGGACAAGAAATTAAATGAATCTACTGGCTGTGGAATGCTTTCCTCAATATAAGCAGGCAACACTGATCGTCTGCCCTACTTACAGCTCCGGGAAGCTGAAATGCCATCTTTAACAAAGCCTGGAAGCAGGCTGGACAGCCAAATGAGGACTCGGGGATATTACATGTGTTTGAGCACTGAGTGAAATAGTGGCTGTTTAAAAAGCAAATGGCCCATATAATAAGTACTGGTTGTTATTCTGCTAGCCATGGTTCCATCTGGCTGTTCTAATAGGCAGGCAGCGGAGTTACAGCAGCGTTAGAAAAGTTCGTTTCTACAGACCATCTTTCTGTCATTTTAACCTTTTTTCTCTCTAAGGAAAAAAGCACATGCATTTGGACTTCTCTTCCTCTCAAATCTTTAAATATTCTGTCATTTTTGCTTCGGGGGAGATGTTGTAGAACTGCATATGGAAATCAGATAGTGTAGAACTCATTATATTCCTATATAATTTGATAGAATCACTTAGAGTCAGA